TTTTTTATTTATTCATTTTTTCCCCCCAAAGCCCCAGTAGATAGTTGTATGTCGTAGGTTCACATCCTTCTAGTTGCTGTACGCGGGACTCGGCCTCGGGTTGGACGGAGATGTGGTGCCTCGGGGCGCGCCCGGGATCCGAACCCGGGCCGCCAGCATCAGAGCGCGCGCACTCAACCGCTAAGCCACGGAGCCGGCCCAAAAAGAGCACATTTTAGAGATCTGTATTTACTGCCCTGCATTGCCACTTACAAATCATGTGACCTTGAGCAACTCAAGCAATGCCTTGAAGCTAGAATTGCTCTTACATTCCATGCAGTCTACTAAGACTTATAACTGCCACTCAGGTTGAATGTAATGGCTCCTCATCTGTACTACATGTGATGCCTGCGGTGTGACTGCACAGTGCCAGGCTCACAACAGACACTCAACACAAATGGCACTTATAAGTCTTAGTAGACGGCATGGAATCTAGGAGCAATTCTAGCTCCAAGACCTTTAGTGATTCTACATATTATGATTTTACAAAAGACTAATCAAGATTCCGAGGAATTGATAACAAAATCAAATTTAGTACTCCTTTGTTACATTACATAACAAATATATGATGTGAATTCAAAGATGAACGAGAAATGGATGTAGCTAGTGAAGGAGCACTCACCTATTATGCAGTACTTTACTATTATCTGAAGAAGAAGCCGTTAATAGAAAATTCAGAAACAGAAAAGGAGACTTTACCTTTTCTTTTGCCAAACCACTTTCCGGAAAGAAAACAGAAAGTGAATACTCATAGCCACATCTCTGTAAGTGATCTGCCACTAGCGAGTTAGAAGCACCTACTAAGAGGGTGCTCCCTTCCACTGAAATGGACTGGGGCTGCAGTTCTCCACTCAGTACAGGGTGCATCAATTCGTGAATGAGCTGGTTTCTGAGTTGTGTCTAGCTCAAAAACAAAAAAACACAAATGAAACAACAGGGAAAAAATTTTCAGTAGGATTGTTTCACTGGAGATACACAGGTTTGTCACATGAATTAGAATCTTTCCTTTCATTTCCAGAATGGTTCTAGATCCATGGCCAAAAGTTAGGAACCTGCTCTTGCACACTTTGTCTTGCTCTGTGAGACAAGCAGCCCAGTGGGTTCTGGAAAAAGCAGCTTGCTTTCACCAGCTTCCAAGTGAACTGGTGGTTAGCTAGAACACGTCTGGACTCTAACTTCACTCCCCTATGAGCCCATTTCTGCAGCTTCTGATTAGGCTATCAAGTATGGGAGAAAATTCTGCTACTTCCTCACCTCTCTGTGGATTGCTGGAGGACATGTAAATAATATTGAGTTAAACCAGTTTATTGGGCATATTGATCAAAATAAAATTGGGTTCCCAAAAGGAAATAACATATACAAAAGAGAAATCAGTAAACCCAAAGAGGCTTATTGAGATGCACTTTCACATACAGTATTTATATCTCAAGACACTGTGAAATACAATAATTTTCTCACATTTTATAAATGAGGAAATTTAGGTTCAATGTGGGTAATTTTCTCAAGGTTATAATACTAGCACTACTATTCATTTGGATTTTAAGAAAATCCCCTAAATTAATCAGACTACTGGATATTTGTTCTAATCTATTTTGCATATTATCTGGAAACATACGGCTGAGCATAAGAGCACGTTGCCTAGATTCACAGAGTAAATACTATCTACTGAATTCATACTAATAGAATACAAGCAAGAAACAAAGGGAGTTCTTGTTATACGTCTTTCTTCTATCCTTTAGCTAGAGAGTAGAACCCCCTATATAATTACCAGTATAGAACAGGACTTATTCTACATCTAAAATCCTGTAGTAAAGAAGGAATTTACAATGAACAGAATACACATGCTCTACCTCATCTAATACAGTTCACTAACTAAAATAATAAAACAAGAAAAGAAACTACAGCATTCTCCACCAGAAAAATTTAGAGGTGGTTTCATTAGATTTGTAACATACTAAAGAAGTAATATATTTAGATCCCGCTTAATTAATAAAAGGATTGAGGGTGTCTCGCAAACAAGTACTGAAATAGGATAACATTTAAATGAATGATATAAGCAGCGTGCAAGAAAAATAAGAGTAGAAAATGAAACATAGATTAATTCCCAATTTGACAAACCAAAAAGCATGCCATCTAGCACTTGCTAGAAGGAATTGCAAAACTGGCTGGGGGCTTTCTAGCAGCCAATGCAAAGAGGGAAATCCATTCAGAATTAAAGCTTGCCATGTCCCTAAGAAAGAAATAAGTACAACTATTGTGCAGGGAGGGAAAGTGGAAGAGAAGAGACTTGTGGATCCTCAGCACATCTCTCTAAGCAATAGACCGATTGAACAGATGCAACATAAGGAAAAAGATTTGATAAACTTCATTATAGATATCTATATGACTTTGTACTTAACCATAAATACAAATTCTCTTTAAACAACCAAACAGAATGTGAATTAGGCCACTAAAAAACTCAATGAATTTTAAAAATTAGAACTCACCCAGGCCACAGTCACTGAACTGAGGAAAAATTAGCTCTGACTGAGAAAGTAAAAATCTGCCCTGCCACTGATCAAGCTGGAATAACAGAAACTGGATAGCCAGCCGCAAACAGGAAACAATCTCTCTCCAGAGGATACACTGCATCTGTAGAGTGAACAACTAGCATAATCCTGATACCAAAGCCAAACAAGGATAGCTCAAAACCGATAATGATTAGTGGATATCAATTGTGACTACAGATATGAAGTAAACACTATCACATCTAATGCCGAAGCACAGGAAAAAAAAATGCCCTGACCAAGAATGCAAGGACCATTCCACATTAGAAAGCGTATTAATGCATTATACACTACAGTTAATTCCGGGTGAGTTAAAGAGTTAACTGTAAAAAATGAAGCCTTTAAAAAAACTTAATAAAAAGTGAATATTCATGCTCTTAGTAGAGAAGGATTTACTGAGAATAATCAGCAAAGAAATAATCAATAGATTTGATCATATAAAAATGTAACATCAATATTTTTACAGCCAATAAAAATTGAACACTGAGATAAAGTATTGCCACAAAAATGGAAAAAAGATTAATAGTTTCTATTAGAAGAGTTCTTATACATTAATAAGAAAACACTAACACCCTAAAAAAAAATGGGCAAGGAACGTGAACTGCCAATCCACAAATGGCCAGAAAATATGTGCAACCTCATTAACAATCAAAGGAATGAATACTAAAATAATATAAGGGTTTTCCAATCTTAGATTGGTTTTAAAAATGTCATGATAAAAATATTGGAGTGAGAGAAGCATTCTCAAACTGCTAGTGGAATATAAACTATTACAACCTTTCTAGAACAAAACACCAAGAGCCTTAAAAATGCTCATGCCCTTTGATTCAGTAATGCCACTTAATCAATCTATCCTACGCAAAAAAAAGAGAGAGAGATGCAATTGAAGGAATGTGTAGACTTGGGTATAATGTAAATATTCGACAACAGGGGACTGCTACATAAATTACCCATACATCCAAACATGAGCCTGGTGCCACTGAAAATCAGGATTTCAAGAAACTTTTAAGGACACGGGAAACTTCTCACCATATAATATTAAAAAGGATATATACACACACACACATTATGCCAATTAGTGGTTGTATTAGAGATGACTTTTCTTCTTGATGCTTTTCTGTATTTTTCAGATGAGTCTGAAGTATTTTTTTTAAGTTACAAAAACAATGGGGGAGAGAGAAGAAAAAAAAAGTTCACTTGTCCTTAATTTCCCATTTTTAAGTGTAAAATATACTTTTGAAATATATATAGTAATGAAAACACGTTTGAGCTAATCCTACTCCTTGCTGTTAATTCATATATAAAAGGTACTAATAAATACTTGCTGCCCAAATTAAGTAGTCATACCTTTCAACATATTTTAAAGAAGAAAGCTCTCATTCCCGGAACAGTTCTACGGTAAGCAGTACACAATGTTTTCTACATGGTGTCAGTGTCCTTCATTCAAACGTGAGTATTACAAAACCACTTATTAATTCAGGAAACTGTAAGCCAGATTTATTAAAAAAGCCTAACCTTAATAAAATGTGTTCATTTTATAAAGTTACCCACTCCTATCTTAATGCCAGTTCAATAAAATCTATTATTTGAATACGCTCTTTTAAGACAACTCAAACCCTAAACCATTTGAGACTTTATTGTTCCAGGATAAAGAGTTATACAAGAACATAAAAATGTAATTCACCAATCTATACATCATACAATTTTTAAAACCCAAAACCTGGATGGATTTAAAATGTGGACTACCTGTTACAGGTTATTACAGGTTACACTTGTAAAAGTTATATAACAGATATGCCTAAAACGGATACCTTGAGCGTGTCCAATATACCCCGATCCTTAAACGTCTGGTACAGCTTTTTGCGCAGTTCATCTTGACTCAACACATCAGACTTGGGGGGCATGATGGACTGGAAGAGAAAATGGTTACAGGTTACCTGGCGGGCAGAAGGGACGTGAATTTCTGAAAACAGACCAGTGGTCTCCAGGGAAGCCCTAAGAGGCCCAGCGGGGAAAGGATTTTTAACGAAAACAAACAACAGGCTTCATTTCCGCCCGTCGCCGAGGAAGGGCTGGTGTATATACCTGAGCCATCAGGTGTGTTTGCTCCTTCCCAAGCCCGCCCCGCCCGGCCTGCCGTGGCCCGAGTTCGAGAGCCAGCCGGGGCTACAGGTCCAGGACGAGGGGAATCGCTGCCCTCAGAGCCCTGCCTCTGTCGCGGGGGATCGGGAGGAACAAGGGAGCTGAACGCTCTGCCGTGCACTCCGAACTAAGAACTCTGGCAGAGATGCGCACTTCCTTTCTCCGCAGTTCTGATGGGTGGGCAGGGCGGGTGGGCAGTGGTCCACGCGCGACTCTCACAGGCGGCTGGAGGGCGGAGACCGGGAGAGGAGACGCACCACTGGGAATTCGCACTGCTCCGAGCCGATCCCGCCCCTTCCCGAGTCCCGCCAAGCCAAGCCGCCGTAGCTTGGAGCGCTACAGCGCATGCGCCGGGCTGCTCGGCGCTCCGGCCGGAAGCTCCACCCGTGTATCGCGAGAGCTCGACGGCCGGGTCTCGCGAGGACTGCTCCGGTTGTCCCGACTGCGGCCGCGGAGCCCTGGTGCCTGCCCCGGGAACTGCCTGGGCTTTTCCGTTGTTGGCGTCTGGCTGCAGGTAGGGGATGGAGCGAGGGAGAGGCGGGCCCTCCGGGGCTTTGGGGCTTTGTGGGACGTCCCGGGCACCGTGTGACCCGAGTGTTGGCCTTGTCTCTCCACCCTGCCCCAGCCTGGGGCAGCCGGGCTGGCCCCAGCCAGCCCCCACTGCGTTTCAACCTGCAGACGTCCGCCGGCTCGGGGGCTTTGCTTCTTTTGCCATTGACTAGGCCAGTCAGCTAACCCAGGGGTTCTTAACCGCGGCACTATTGCCATTTGGAGCCGGAAAATTCTTCATTGTGGGCGCTGTCCGGTGCACTGTAAGTTGTATAGCAGCATCCCTGGTCTCTCCCCACTAAATACCAGTAGCGCCTTCCCACCAATTCTGACAACCATGAATGTCTCTAGACATTGCTAAATGTCCTATGTCCTCTGGGAGGCAAAATCACCGCCTGGTTGAAAACAAATGAGCTAAACTTTGAGCACCCACCGTTGTGCGTGCTGTGAGGAAGACAAAGGTGAGCCAGCTCCCCAAGATACTTAAATCTAACTGGAAAGAAATGGAACCAGTCTCTCGAGAAGCAGTAATGAAAACATTATAGCCAGAGAATTGGATAAGAACTAAGATGCATTGTAGACTGGGTAAAGAGTTTAGAAAAAGAGGTGGTTGAAGATGGAAGTTGGCAGGGACATCTCTGTGGAAAAAGTGTGACTTCATCAGGACTTTGATGGGTAGGATTTGGATGGTGGGCAAAAAGAGCATTGGAGGGATGGGGAAAATTTGCAGAGAAATAAACGTCAGGACCCTCTCAAGAGCAGTGAGGAATCTGGCCTGACTCCAGAGTCCTGTGCTGTGGATATAAGGTGTCTAAGTCCTATGAGGGCAGAATTGGGTCAGTGTTGGCTTTGTGCACAGCACTGAAGAGTACAGTGAGTTTTGACCCCTGGCTGTGAAAGGTTTTAAAGTATTTAAGAGGCAGCAAGAGTGACAGGACTTCATAGGAGGTGGAGCGCCTGTAGGTTGGTGTTGGGAAATAATTTTTGAGGAGGGGGGCCTTGGACTCTGAAAGATGGGCAAGGTTTGCACACAGAATCAGGAGAGCATGAAGAGAGAAATAACTCTGGAGTGGATGCAATCAGTGAGTTGGGGAGAAAAAATAAGTAGACCATCCAGCTCTAGCAGAGGTGGAACAATAAGGTTGAGAAAAAACGTGCAGAGCAACGTGGGAATAGGTTTTGAATACGGGTACTTGATTCTGTAGATGAGAAGCATTACGGCTTTTGAGCAGAATGGTGAAACGATGAAGAGATGTTAATATGTTGTAACTACTGTTAAAAACCATCTGTGCCTAAAGACCCTTTTACCCCCACCTTTAGTCCCAAAGTTGAATAGAATTAGATAAAATATTCTCCAAAAGCCAGCATAATCTCACTTGGAGGTGGAGGAATTGCTTATAGTATTAACAGGAAAATGTCACACAAGAGAACTATCAATAGTATTCATCCTGCTCCTCATCATTGCAGTAGACATGTCCTCTGCCACACCAGGTTAGTCTTGCAGCCCCAGGTCTGTGGAACAACTGAAGCCACTGCTGTCGGAAGCACAGGGAAGTTTTCTAGAAGCTCCTCTGTAGAGGCTGTAAAGAGGTTTGCTATAAAAATGGATGGCTTTGTAACTGGAGTCCATGAGTTGTCTTGTTTCTGTCTGCAACTTAAAATTCTTAAGAGTTGGAAGGGACTTCTAAGTTCATTGAGTTCATCCTCCCGGTCTGGCACTAATGGTCTTCCAGCCTCCGCTTATGCACTTCTGGTGATGGGTTGAGGGGAGGGTTAGTCACCTCACAAGGCAGCCTGATAGTTCTTTGTTAGAAAGTTCTGAATTACACTGACCCAAATGTCTTTTCATGTAACCTCAAAGGAGCAGCTGTAGGTTTGGCCCCTGGAGCAGTTTGGAATAAGTCTGTCTAATCCAGAGTTAGCAAATACTTAGCACTCAGGTAGGCACTGCTCTCTCCCAAACCCATAGCAGGCGTGGATAACTGAACCCAGTTATCTTTCCCACTCACTGCAGTTAGTCTCAGAATCTTTCTCAGCACCAGTTCCTGGCGGTCAGTACCAGTTGATTAGAACTGGCTCACAAGAGGAAACCCATTTGCTGTCCCTAGTCAAATCCCTTTTCCATTAGACAGCATATCTTATTTAAAGATAAGGTTGTGCTGTACTCCACTCCCCCCCAAAAAAAATCTCCACCCTCCCTCAGTTGCAACATCCTCAGTTCCTTCAATAGCTCTGTCTTGTTTCCAGAGCATTCCCTAGCCTCGATCCCGCCCTTCTCCCAACACACACAGTTCAGTTATTGATCCTTTTAAAATGCAATTCCCAGAACTGAGTACGTTCCCCAGAGATGATGTTAGCGAAGAGGACGTCGTCTTCTCTTACTGCAGAATTGCATTAGCTTTTTTTGACTGCTATATCAGACTGCTGCCTCTTATTGAGCTTGCAATAAATGAAAACTTTGGGGTTCTTGTAGATGAACTGCTCTTAAACTAGGTTTCCCCCATCCTGTTGTGCAGTGGATTTTTTTTAAACCCAAGTACAGGACTTTATTTCACATCCTCTTAAATTCTATCTGGTTAATTTCACCGAATTCTCCTAGCCAGGGAGATCTTTTTGAATCCCGACTTTTGCCTTCTGGTATTAGCGTGTTGTTATCTTTAAATGTGATAAATTGTCTTCATCCCAGTTACTGATTCAAATGTCACGCTGGAGTAGGTTAAGGTAAACCTCGAAGGTTCCCTAGAGACCCCATGCTGTCAGCTGACATGGAGCACTTTGTTAATGTTCTTCGGGTATTGACATTCAAGTCAGCTATGAGTTGTTCCTCATTCAACAAATAACGAGTGCTTCCTGGGCCCCAAGCACTGCTGTAGCTCTGGGGATACCACAGACTCTGTTATCATCTAGGCTACAGTCTCCAAGTTTGTTCTTAGATAGATACTAAATTACTTCATAAAATGACTTACTGTCTCCCATATTTCCCTTCGAAAACGGAAAATGTATATTTGGCATGACTTGTTCTCATTATAATCAGGAGTACATGAATGAATAATAACCTATGCTATTTTTGTCTAGGGATTCACATTAAATGAGTTAATGTATAATAAAAGCTCCTAGCATGTGTCAGACCAAAGACAGGCATTTGATACATATTTCTGTTGGTATTTTAATCTCTTCGAAAGTACCCAGTTATAGACTAGGAGATAAGCCTTTTTGTTTCTGAAAATAGGAATAGCGCTTACCTCTCTCTGATGATGTGGCTCTTTTCTGTTCCTGCGATTTCTCAAATGTCCCTGATCAGCAGTTATACAGTCACATTTGTTAATCCAAGATATGTAATTTGCTGAGACCTAAAGACTTGTATTTATTGAAGTGTCTAGATTTTTTTTATTGATGTCATAATAGTTTATAACATTGTGAGATTTCAGTTGTACATTGTTATTTGTCAGTAGCCATATAAATGAGCCCCTTCACCCCTTGTGCCCACCCCCCAACCTCCTACCCCTTGGTAATCACCAAACTGTTCTGTGTGTGTTAATCTTCCACATATGAGTGAGGTCATACGGTGTTTGTCTTGCTCTGTCTGGCTTATTTCACTTAACATAATACCCTCCAGGTTCATCCATGTTGTTGCAAGTGGGACGATTTTGTCTTTTTTTATGGCTGAGTAGTATTCCATTGCATATATATACCACATCTTCTTTATCCAATCATCTGTTGATGGACACTTGGGTTGCTTCCATATTAAGATGTCTAGATATTTTTTTAATATCCCCCATCTTGAGGTTCACAGCCTGCCTAAACTTGTTTCTTCCACACTTGCTGTTTGAAAATCATTCTCTTTGAGAAAACTGAAGTTCAGCAGATCTGCGTCCTCTGTTATTTAACTATGTACCAGGCGCTTGAAGCAGTTGACCTTTCTCCCTTCCTTTTTCCTGATTGCAGCCTAAAAAGGCTTTTGTTTTTCTTAATATATTCCACACATTTCAGCTCACTGGGGGCTTTTGCCCTTCTGATTGCCCTCACAGATTTCTGGTCCCGTATTTATGTTCAGTACTAGTTAGTGCCCTGCTTCTTAACATCACGTACGCGTCCTCTTTGAGTTCAAGGTAGTCCAAAGCTCCTTGTAGCACCATGGTGATTTCTGTAGTTCTCCCTCTCAAAAGCAGCTCAAGTCACCCTAGCCACCAGAGCCAGCTGCTGTTTTCACGACAGGTGCGAGTCCTGTCCCTTGTCAGGGAGGATTTCTTCACAGGTACCTTCACAACTTACAGCAGCTTCTCACCAAGGTGCTGTGAAGCACTGGAACACAGACTTCATCAGTCAGGCCTCTGAGACCCCGACGGCCTCAGCACTGGAGCTTTTCCATGTTGAGGCTAGTTAATCCCACCATGCCTCTCACTCCAGCATCATCTGACACTGTCCAAACCACAGCCCCCTCGTCGCAGTTCTGTTCTGCAAGCACTGAGCACTTATTATGGACTGGGCTCTGTGTCAGGTGTTAGGGATATGTGCTGGAAAAACCACAGCCCATTCTTTTCCCTGCTGTCATCCCCATACACTCCAAGTAGCTTCACCTTGACGCACCATTGCCCCTCCCCCCTGCACCTTTTCCACGGTGCTTTGAACCCCCGTCCCATGGTAAATGAACTCCCTTTGTTCCCAATCTCTTTATAGTGATGACTGTTCTTTTATAGACTGTACCCTCTTCCTTTTTGCTCACACTTCCTTGAGTATTTACTTTTTTCTCATACCTGCAGGTTTTTCAGCTTTGATATGTGTGTTAGTTTCCTACTGCTGCCATAACAAATTACCAGAAATTTAGTGGCTTACAACAACACAAGTTTATTATCTTACAGTTCTGTAGCATAGAAGTCCGACACTAGCCTCACTGGGCTGAAATCCAGGTATCAGGGCTGCGTTCCCTTTTGGAGGCTCTCGGGAAGACTCTTTGTGCTTTCCAGCTTCTAGCGGCTGCCCTCTTTTCCGTGGCTCGTGGCCCCTTCCTCCATCTTCAAAGCCAGCAACATTGCATCTCCGTGCCCGTCCTTCCATACTCACATTTCCCCTTGACTTTCTTCTTGGGCCTCCCTCTTCCACTTTTAAAGACCCTTGTAATTACATTGGGCCCACATGGGTAGTCCAGAATCATCTCCCTATCTTAAGGTCAGCTGATGAGCAACCCTCATTCCATCTGCAGCCTTAATTCCCCTTTGCCATGTAAATTAACATTCACAGATTCCCGAGATTAGGTTGTGGACGTCTTGGTCGGGGGCAGGGGGACTATTCTGGCTACCACCACATGTTCAAAATTGACATGTTCATTTTCATCCCCTTCTTTCTCTTTCTTACTTCCTTTCCTGGTGAATAACATCATCATCTTGATATTCTCCTTGATCACCTCAGTCAGACATTTGGAAACACCCTCAATTCTTCCTCAGTTCCCCAGTTTAATCCATTGCCAAGTTCTGTGTAGCTACCTCCTCCACACCTTGAAATCCAGTCTTCCTTGGAGAGGCTTGAAGGGCCCCTATTTCAGGTGGTGGGAAAATTGAGCAGACACGTACACACTCACATAAATACAGCAGTTGCTTTATTTGTATTATGTATATTACATTGGAGTTCTAAGTAATACTTGCTTCATGGGTGGAGGAGGTCACAGAACTTTAAAAAATGTTTGGAATCATTGATCTAGAGCTGCACTGTCTGATACAGTAGCCACTAACCACATGTGGCTACTTAAATGTTAATTAAAATTAAATAAAAATTCAGTTCTGCAGACACACTAGCCACATTTCAAATGCTCATTAGCCACCAGCGGCTACCACATCTGACAGCACAGGTGTAGAACACTTCCATCCTGTCAGAAAGTTCAGTATATTGGACAGCATGGAATTCTAGAGTGCGTCTCACTTCTACCTACTACCTGGGTATAGTAAGCCCTCAACTGTTAAATGATTATACACATTCCCTTCCTAAGACAATGTGGTTATTCTCCCAAGGTTCCTTTTCTTCCACTTCACCTTTCAGTTTTTCCTTGTCAGAATTGAATACAGTTATATCCCTTCTTCAGCTGTTTGTGAAATCAGGTTATTGGCAGGTTATTGCCCAGCTGGCTAGTTTGTGATATAACCTTTAGGCAGTATTCCCTTCAGTTCCCTTTCTGTTTATCCTCACGCTGTACTTGGTTAGCACTATGCTTCTCTCCCAGCGCTGGATTTCCACACGGGGCGAGGGTACTGGGAGGTGGAATGGGAGTTATCTTCCTTATCCATATATTGTCTGCTGCAGCTTCTTAAAGGTGTGTGTGGGGAGAAGCATCTTCCTTATATTTTTTTCCTGCTGCTGCTTCTTAAATGTTTGTGCAGAAGAAAGTAAGCCCTTCCCTTGGCAAGCTCCAGCTTTGAAACCTGTTCAAGCAAGCATTAATGATGTCATTGTTGACTTTGTTAACATTTCAAGCTCCCATCCCTCTTCCCCTCACTTTCTCTTAAGAATTATTGCCAATTCTGCTAATTTTGCATAGCTTTTGTAACATTCCTGCTCGTCTTTGTCTAGTTTTACTAGTTGGGCCTTTTTCTCATCTTTCCCCTAAAACAGGGACCAATTTTTTCTGTAAAGGGTCAGATGGTCTCTGTTGTAGCAGCTCAGCTCAGCTGTTGTCAGGCAAGAGCAGCCTTAGACGATAGTAAGAGGATGGACAAGGCCGGAGTTGGCCCGCAGGCTGTAGTGTGCCGACCCCTGCCCCAAATAACATTTTACATCCTCCTTACTTCATCATGCCAAAAGTCCCCTCTCTGCCTTTTCATCCAGTCATGGCCTTCGAATTCCAGAGGTAGAAGTGCCAGCTGTGCCCTGATTTCCTTTACAAAACGTTGTATTCATTAGGAAGTACATTTCAGATCTCTTCTGATTTCATTGCGTGTTGTGTGTGAATCAGCAGAAGTCCCAGTGACGTTCCATGAGCCCTGGGCTCTGACACACCCCAGCTGTACGTTCCCCGAGACTGGACACTGCCGGTTAACCAGATTCCCTCCCCACGTGGAGGCCTTACCTGTCACCACATCTCCATGTGCACATGCTCTTCCGTGTTCTTCTAGATAACATTTACTGAGCACCTCCTAGGAGCCAGACGCTGTGCTGGGTGCTCTACATGCATTAGGTTGTGTAATCTTCAGGCTCACCGTAAGCGAGCTACAATTGTGATCTCTATTTCACCGAGGAGGAGACAGATGCTGGGAGATTAAGGACCATGCCCACCTGTGGTCACGTTGCTAGTAAGTGGCAGAGCTACACTTGAACCTAGCTTTGTCTGATTCCAAAGACCCTGTGCTAAAAATACATACAGAAATCCATCCGTCCATCCGTCTGTCTATCCATCCATCCAGATTTTGATTGTCAGTGCTAAAAACCACAGAATCACTGATTCCACCCCTCCCACTTTCTTTTAGTTTTATTTCTTTAGCAAACCTATTAACCCTAGTTCCAAGACCTCTTAATGCCTCAAAATGTCTTCCTTTTTGGATTATTATTTCTTCCATCTTTCCTAGAATACAAAACTGTTTCTTCCTTTCTTATAAATGGTGTTTGAAGAGGCATGTCATAGGCTCTTTCATCTGCAGGGACTTATATTTGTAGCATATATACTTCAGGTAGGAAGAAGACAAATAGACCATGCACTCTCTAGATTAATGCTATATCTCTCCTTTGTGTCAGTGACATGACGGAGGATTGTTTTTAGCTTCCTCAGAAGCATCTCTCCTGAAAATTTCTAAGGCAAGCCAGTTATTTCCTAATCAGCACCCTTTATGAATCTTTCCAGGTGTTAGTGCTAATGCTAACTGGTCCAGTTCAAGTTTAGCCCAGCTTACTCTAAATGTTCCAAACTTTCAGATCATGAGAATGTTGTTGTTGGAATTTCATATTAGAGGTCTTCCAATTTCCCTGTGTAAATATAGTACTGGATTCTACAGGACATATCATAGATATATAATTTGTGTAGTCCAAAAGCCATATATATATGGTAGTATATATCTATGGTAGTATACTGGAAAGCATGCCAAGCTTAGCGGCCTCCTCCTCTACAATGTCAGCTTTAAGTAAAACATTGAATTCTAGACTTCCTGTTAACTATTTTGGTTTTCAGTATTGAGTACTAAATATATGTATTATTTTAATTAGGAGCTATATACTGAAGACAATGTCTGGAAGCTTCTACTTTGTAATTGTTGGCCACCACGATAATCCAGTTTTTGAAATGGAGTTTTTGCCAGCTGGAAAAGCAGAATCCAAAGTACGTATGGAACCTTAAAAAATTCCATAAGAATTGTTATGCTGTGGGTAATGATAATGGTGTCATATTATTTTAGAACTGGAAGAGATCTGGACAGATGAGGGAACCGATTCCACCACAATTAAATGAGGCTTGCTCTGCAGTCCCACAGGGTGATAGAAGCCAGCCTCGGAATGTTGTCTAAATTGTTGATTCATCCTTTAAGTCAGCACACCCTTAGCACATACTAGCGGGATGCTCTGTATCTCTTTCCCCTGATCTTCAGTTCACTGTGTCGCCCACTACGAAAAGCTGCTCCTTAAGCACATAAAAACATAGTCCACCTCTAGTGGGTCTGGAAGAACAGTCATCACTGCCTTGAAATGTCATGAAAGCCCATTCTGTCCCAGTGAATTACATTTTTCATCAGGACGTACGTAGTAGATCCATTTACACTTGGGAGGGTTAAAAGAGACCCGTACTTACATGTCCTCCTGCTGCCCCTGAGACTACGGCAGTTTTCAGTGACCTTCTGCAGTACCTACTGGCTGGGTGGTGCCCACGTGCTGTCCTCCCCAGTGACACCACCCAACTTTCTTGTTGTCAAGAATGTTTCCAGAAAAACAAGCTTGGTTCAAGAACATGTTGCCATTCAGAGTAAACAGAGCCATAGAGTCTTGAGATGAGAATAGCTGGGTCCCTTACATCTTTCTGTGGAATGTATTAGGAATGTCCACATTTCTAATAAATTGCTGACAAGTTATGTTGTGTTTCTCCCAACCTCCAAAAAATAAACTTTAATGTCCTTTAAGACAGGACTTGGTTTTTGAAATTAATTGTAATATGTAATGTCCAGTGTATGATGCTTTTCAACTATTCAGATCTTTCCACTAAAATATGATAGAAATTTAAGGTATTATCCTACCAGGTGTTGTTGCTACATTATTTTCCCACATTCATATGAGCAGACTGCTTATTAAAACTTTGATTTGAGGCATCTCTGTAGCAAGAGTTGCTTTGTGGTACACGGCTACTTAAGTATAGTTTCTGTGCACTCCAGTGGCCTTGTGATAGGCAAAGCAGTGCATATAAAAAATCTTTGTCACATGACTTGATCTTAGTTCTTTCTCCTGCTACCACTTACCTTCTTAAAGCATTTCTACAGTTTTCTCCTAATCTCTCAAGATTCACCATCAGTGTAAAGTAATGGAAAACGCTGCTGTGAGCCAGACACAAATATACCCAGAAGGATTAAATTAGCTTCGTCATGGCAACGTGAGTTAAGTAAATGTGCTTTAGCTGTGCGAGGGATTCCAGCGCAAGGGCAGCCTTCCTCCAGCCCAGTCACGGGCACAGCCTCCTTGGGCTGCCGTAACAGAGAACCAAAATATAGGTGGCTTAGAACAACAGAAATTTATTGTCCCCCAGTTCTGGAGGCCAGAAGCCTGAGATCAAGGTGTCAGCAGGGCCGTGCCCCCTCTGAAGGTACTAGGGAAGGGTCTGTTCCAGGCCTCTCTCCTAGCTTCTGGTAATTCCTTGGCTTCACATGGCGTTCTCTCTGTGTGTGTGTCTGTCTCCAAATGTACCCTTTTTATAAATACATCAGTCATAGTGGATTAGGGCCCGCTCTACTCTAGCCTGACCTCATGTTAACTAATTACATCTGCAACGACCCTCTTTCCAAATGAGGCCACAGTCTAAGGTACTGGGGGTTAGGACTTCAACATACGAATTTTGGGGGGACATAATTCAACCCATAACAGAGGTGTTCTTTTTTTTGTGTATGTGAGGAAGATCAGCCTTGAGCTAACATCCATGCTAATCCTCCTCTTTTTGCTGAGGAAGACCGGCTCTGAGCTAACATCTATTGTCAATCCGCCTCCTTTTTCTTCCCCCCACAAAGCCCCAGTAGATAGTTGTACGTCATAGTTGCACGTCCTTCTAGTTGCTGTATGTGGGACACGGCCTCAGCATGGCCGGAGAAGCGGTGCCTCGGTGCGCGCCCGGGATCCGAACCTGGGCCGCCAGTAGCGGAGTGCGCACACTTAACCACTAAGCCACGGGGTCGGCCCACAGAGGTGTTCTTTGAAAATGCATTTAGAAAGTAAGAATTCCACAGGAATAAGACTGCATTCTAGGTTGTAAATTCCCTCTCCACATTATGTTGGGTTATTCCCACCTTCTCCTCCAGTTAAGCCATTTCAGCCCTTGAAAAGGACATCCCAGCTCTGACAGGCCCGTCTCCTGCTGTTGGCACAGGTGACTGCTCACAGCTGGGGCTGAGCATGGTCTCCCACCACTCCCAGGTCCCCCTGCCATGTAAGTTCCTTAGACCTGAAAGAGATGGATGCCAAGCCTTTAGGAGCACCACCTCAGCTGTCTCCACTGCTCACCAAGTGTCCCTGCGCTTGAAGCCCCTCTCTCCCATCCTCCCCTTGCGGCCTGTGCCAACAGCACCTCTCTGTAGCTCTCCTTTACCGCCTCCTTAACCCCAGCCTACCTAAATTGCTGTCCTTTATCTATAACCACTTACGTATTTTTTCCTGTCTTCCTCCTCTAAAAAGATGGGAGCTTCGTGAAAGCAGGATCTACTTTTTTTTTTTCTTTTAACATAGTATTCTTTTTTCACATGCTTAAATGGTTACAGAATTTGGTAACTTCTTGCAAAATTAAAAAAAAAATCTTCTATGTAGTTTCTTGAACACATTTCATTTATTAAGTAATTGACTGTTTCTATTTGTTGAGTTTTTAGATACCAAATTAAAAAATAAAATATGATGTGAAAACACTGAAGATCCTTTATAAGTCTCATGACAATAATAAACGAAGTAAAAGCAGAAAGTGTTCCCCCCCACAAGAAAACTATAGGATTTATGGACTGCAATGTTGGCGTTCTGGCTGCCGTATGGAAATGTTAACCTGGTGCTGCTCACACTGTACTCTAGGACGACCATCGTCATCTGAACCAGTTCATAGCTCACGCTGCCCTCGACCTCGTAGATGAGAATATGTGGCTGTCGAACAACATGTACTTGAAAACTGTGGACAAGTTCAATGAGTGGTTTGTTTCAGCATTTGTTACTGCAGGTCATATCCTTACCTTTTTAATAAAGATACCTAACTAAAGGTTGGGGTAACAAACTAGAACAACATGGGACATAGATGCCAGGCTGAGTCTGTGGGCTTCAAAGTATCAGGTAAAAATGGCCACTTGTGGGGCTACTTTTTTTAGGGGGAAAAAACCACATTGTGTTTAACAGATAATTTTAAAACCAAGTCTCATATATAAAACTAAGCTTTATCTGAACCATATCAAGGGTGATTTTACTTTATTTTGTAGTTATTTTCTAACTTAAAAAGATTATGTTCTCTTTGAGATAAAACTAACCTAACTTTGAACCCAGTTTATGTATTCAACTTTCCATTGCAGACTACACTGCATGTGACTAATTTGAGAATATTGTATCAACTGATGGCTTTCCGTTTTTCATTTCTAAGAAAGGTTATACCTTAATTGTTTCACATATGAGATTTATTATGCTTCATGACATAAGGCAAGAAGATGGAATAAAGAACTTCTTTACTGATGTCTATGACTTATATATAAAGGTATGGTATATTCTATAACTTTTTAAATCTGATTATAAAAAGAGATTCAGGGGCCGGCCAGGTGGCAGAGTGATTAAGTTCGTGTGCTCTGCTTTGGCAGCCCAGGGTTTGGATCCCAGGCGCAGACCTACACACCACTCTTCAACCCATGCTGTGGCAGCGTCCCATATACAAAAAATGGAGGAAGATGTGCATGGATGTTAGCTCAGGGCCAATCTTCCTCAGCAAAAAGGAAGATTGGCAACGGATGTTAACTCAGGGCCAATCTCCCTCACCAAAAGAGATTCAAACTTTGATAGGAAACTGGCCTATTAAAGTAACTCCCTTATATGGCACGGCTTCCATCTCAGACTAGCTCTCCCCGCATCAGAACTATCCCTGGCAGCTCCCTCATCAGGCGAGTCTTCACCACCAAGATAACTTATTTAGGAAAACAACTTGTGGTAGTTATTTTTAAATCAGTTTTATTCTCCCCCTTTTGGCACATATAGTTGATTTTATTAGGGAACCCTAAAGAGAGAGAAGGGAGCAGTCTGCCTAAGGGAAACTGCTTCATAATTTTAATCTAAAATGTTTTCCATCTACTTTACAAATAAGTTACAATGTAATGTATATAGGTCATAAACCAGCAGGAAGTGATTCATATATTATCAAATAGTCACTCAAGGGGAATGGTGCCACCTGCATTTCTTGATAATTAATTAGAAAGTTAAAATAGTAACAGGATGTCAGTGGTTAAACAATAGTATGTTAGCAGTGCTAACGACAGTATATTCTTAATAATTTAAATGTTCTGTATTTGGATAAGATTTTTTGCATACCAGCACAGTTAACAATCAATATTCCTAGTCAAGGGGCCGGCCCGGTGGCGCAAGCGGTTAAGTGCGCGTGCTCCGCCGCGGCGGCCCGGGATTCGCTGGTTCGGATCCCGGGCGCGCACCGACGCACTGCTTGGAAAGCCATGCTGTGGCGGCGTCCCATATAAAGTGGAGGAAGATGGGCACAGATGTTAGCCCAGGGCCGTCTTCCTCAGCAAAAAAAGAGGAGGATTGGCAGATGTTAGCACAGGGCTGATCTCCTCACAAAAAAAAAAAAAAAGAAGAAAAAAAAAATATTCCTAGTCAGAAGTAGCAAATAAGAATATTTAGCCCTCTTATAAAGATGGACAGCATCAAGTGATGAGGTGTAAAAATTGGTAACTCCTTTCCTCATTAGTGATTCCACTTAATATTAATTTCTCACATGTTATGATACACTCATTACGTTACCTGAGAAACTGATCATTAGCCTTGTCTTAAAGGAGAGCATTAAAAACCTGATTGTTAAAAAACTACCAAACAAGAGTAACTTAATAGCAGTGTGGTATAAGTGTTTCTTAACTCTGAGCATATGGCAGATTTTTAGTTTTATGTAGCCAAAGGGCCTTACAGATTAACCCATGTATTTATAAAGAATGTGAGTAGATCAGTATGTCACACATAGAGTGAATCCTGAAAGTTAATTTAGCTCATTACATGGGCAACACTTATAGCACTGTTCTGCCACAGTACTTCTCAAAACTAAACACCAAAACAAAAACTTCCTTAAAGGGTCATTACTATTTACTTAAATGTGGTCTTTAGACTTCTGTTTTGAATGTCTTTGATGATTTCTTTTAATTTAAAACTTTAAAATAATTTCCTTTTAGAGACCTATGATTTGTCAGCCTTTGTACTTTGACAAGCTCACTAATATCTTCTTCTTTCCTAGTTTGCAATGAATCCATTTTATGAACCCAATTCTCCTATTCGATCAAGCGCATTTGACAGAAAAGTTCAGTTTCTTGGGAAGAAGCACCTTTTAAGCTGAATGCAGAAAAATTCAGAAACAAACAATGTCACTACAATGGGGTATACTCAGGAATGTGTACATTGTAAGTAAGTTGATTAAATAGCCTGGAAAAGTTTTACTTGTAGTCTCAATTTATCTAAACCTAATGAAATTCCTTTTATATTTAAAAATAGTACACTCAGTTTCTTATGATTACCAACAGATCAATATTTGCTTATAAACAGTGTTATTTATAAAGAGCTCTTTATTAGTAATCGTGAAATACCTTTATTTTAAAAATTGAGAATAAGCTTTTGAATTTCCTCATTCAGATAGCTTGATCTTGATGTAACAATCCAGAACCAAATGTCACTGTCAAGATTTGGTAGATTGAAAATAGCTTCTGCAGTAGGGAATGAAGTTGATAGCACATACATGGGCTTATCTATACATCTAGAGATGTTATGAAAATGTACAGGCAGTTTACATGGCACTACCCAAGAAGCCGAAGCAAATAGCTTTTGCAGCGCCAAATGCCACATGCCTGCCCCTGTCAGAGACTGGGAACAGTGATCCTGCTATAATTCTAGAATCCTGGATCCATGTTTGCAAAGTGGGAGGCTGGGACCAAAGTGACAGGTTATGTTCTTATATTTCCTTTCCCTCAGACAGTAAACTAAAGATTAAGTGCACCTGTTGGTAGCTGTACTAGTAAAAAGTTGTAAGGCAATTTTAGAATTGTAAACAAAGAAAAGCTTGCATTACCTTAACATTTGCACTTGTAGCCATTTAGGCTGTACACCAGAGCAGGTGGGGAATGGACTCTTTTGTACTGTAACAAGTGGGGGAATCTTACTGTCAACTAGTAAATGGCCACTGAAAAGCAAGTAATATTAACCAGATATTTGTTGAGCACTTGAAGAATTTTCTTCCATTCTGAATAACTTGAGCAAGTAATTCTAAGTTTGGTCTTGTATCCTTGTGTGAAGTTGCTACCATATTTTTTACCCTATTTATTTTGTTTCTTAAATAAAGATGTTTGTCCAAGATTGTGGAAGTTTAATATCGAATTTTTTAAGTGCTGCCCATCCCACCACCACTACCATTTTAGTCCTGTTTCCCCTATTGAAAGTCTGCAAGCTAATACATAATCTCAATGCATTTTACAGAACTCAGAGCGCCTCAAACTAGGTGCCAGAGCTTGAGGGGCAGAAAAAGATACTCAGCTAGAAATCTAGGAGTAATTTCAGCCATGCTCACTGGAGAGACCCAAACATGTACTTATTGTATATAGTTTGCTCTGCCCTCAATGAGCATATAGTGCAGAGGGGTGTGGTGCAAGCCAGCCAGGAGCAGCAGCGTGGTGCTTCAGCAGGAAGTTGTAGGGTGGAGATGGTTCAGGTCCTGGCTCAGTCCAACAACAGGTGCCCTGCAAATAGTGATCCTTTTCTCCAGGTTTGTGAGGATGAGGCGAACAAGTAACACAAGCCCTGTGTGAGTATATTACTGTAGTTAAGTACCAAATTACGGGTAGGACCGCATCTTTGAAGGAGCTTGAAGGAAGCCCAACAATGAGTGTAGGAGTGGGTGGGACCTGAGGTGGGCCGCACTGGGAAAGCATGCTGGGCACGAAGGTGTGGAGAAAAGCAGCACTGGACACGTGGATAGGACAGCTGAGAGACAGAACCAGGCCTGGGGTAAGGGGAAAACCAGGGGCTGATAAGTAGGAAAGCTAAAGAGCCGGCAAGCTTGCTTGGATTTGGAGGTAGGTGATGTCACTGAAGTTTCCACACACAAGAGCAATGGGGGGACATCAGTAGCACCCTGGGCATCAGGCTCCACTGAGCACATGTATGTCAGCACTGAATTTGTGATCCAACTAAAATGCACGAATCTGGTTTGCCCTCGTTCATTTTCTAGGATGCTTCATTGGTGGCCATGTTTTCCGTGTATATAGAGACCCTCGATCTCTGCTCTGCCTATGCCACACTCGTGTTCTTTCACTTTTTGGTCACGTCAGCACTTCCTGGCTGGCAGTCCGCAGTGGTGACTTCTCAGAATCCACTGACTGTACACGTCTATTTTTCTACTTAACACTTCACTGCCCCACAAGCCACTGGTGTTGTGCAAGAACTGGCATCATGGTGTCACGATCTTAAAGTCACAGCTTGTTGTTGGCTGAAGAGCTCTTCCATCAGTTCGTTGTCGTTTCTTTGAAGGCTGAAGCTATTTAGTCAGGTTTTGTTCCTCTTCCTCTTAGCTGTCACATTTCAGTACCACGTTTGGTCAATTAGCCCCTGTTCACTGGATCCCTTTAAGTCACAGTGTGAAGCTGGATTACTCTCCCTTCCGTCAGCCTGTCTTTACACACATGAAGATCTGTTCCCTTGACCGTTTTTTGCTGCCCAGCTCTAGACCTCTTGAACGCCAACTAATCTAATCCCTGAATATTTAGCTGAAGAAAGGTTACTGATAAGATGCTTAAAAGTTTTAAAAAACCACTAAGGTATTAAGTAAGTCTATACAAGTATCAAAATTATACATTTTGTAATTACCTACACACATACATAAATGTGTTATGGGGCTGAACTGTGTCCCCCCGAAATGCATATGTTGAAGCCCTAGCCTCCAGTCCCTCAAAACATGACAGTATTTGGAGACAGGGCCTTTAAAGAGGTGATTAAGTTAAAATGAACCCATTAGGATAGGCCCTAATCCAATCGAACTGGTGTCCTTATAATGAGGAAATTTGGACAGAGAGAGACACACGGCGGGGGGAGTGGCACAAAGAGGAAAGGTCATCTGCAAGCCACGGTGAGAGGCCTCAGGAGAAACTAAACCTACCAACACCTGGATCTGGGACTTCCAGCCTCCAGAACTATGAGAAAAGAAATTCCCATTGTTGAAGCCACCCAGTCTGCATTTTATTATGGCAGCCCTAGCGAACTAATAAAATATGCTTTCTTTATGTACTAAATATTTAGATGGACACCCAAGAAACACACATGGCTGCCTCCAGGGACAGGAACTGGGTGGCAAGGGTAGAGATATTTGTCCCTGTGCCTTATGATTTTGAACCCCGTGACTCTATCATCTATTCAAAAAATGAACCAAAAATTTACTAATACCTATTGCTGACCAAGGTGTGGGAAACTGGCACTTGCATGTACTACTGCCAGATGTCTATCAACAGAAAATGGTTTGAATAAATTGTTAGATGTCCATACAGCTGATAAATGAGGTAGGTCTACTATAATGGAAATACGTCCAGATATATTAAGAGAAAAGGGCAAGTCACAAAACAATGGGTACACTTTTGATTTAAAAAAACAAAGCAAGTCCCCTAGAGAAACAAAGGAAGAATATACAATATACACCAATTTGTTAACATTGGATTCCTTTTTGTTTTTTCGATGAAGGATTAGGGTTTTTTGGGGGGGATGATTATAAATAACAAAAACTACATCTCTTTCTAAGAGACTATGAAGAGATTTAATTTCCCCACATTTAATATGTTAAAATGTTTTGCTCATAGCCAAATTGTCTGTTATGTTAGGAAATTAGACTTTCAAAAGTTTAGCCTACTGTAATGATATTCTTTTTCAGTAGTTCCCAATGAGAGGCCAGGGAGAGAAATATAGCAATCTAGTTTTTCAAAATGTACCCCTCCTGCATGATGTCCCCCCATGCATGTCCTTTGATAACCCAGCGCTCCACAGTCAAGGGGTCCGTCCTCACTAACACGCGGTCTAGGTGTTAATTTGCCGCTGTAGGATGGGATCAGCACGAATGGCGCAGCACATGAGCTCTACTCACAAAAGAACACAATTGGCTTTATCAGCAAGTCCGGTCATCGCAGCAGGATGACAGAAAATCTCCTTGAAAGCAAATCACTAAACAATGTTCAGTGATCGAGAAGACACTAAATACATGACCAGATATAAAGATGTCTTCATTAGCCCTCACAGAAAGTACAATCCTTAGTATTTCCTCTAGAGTGATAAAACTGGCTGCTGTGTTGGAGGGAGGGCGCATGTGTGGCACACAAATGATGAGTGATTACCAGTGAGATCAACTCTGATATGCAGAATGAAAGCATGAACACGTAAATAACTTTAAAGAAAATGAAGAAGTAGTCAATCAAATAACTGCAGTGCAAAGGCGTTAAATTTTAATCTTTAATATCTAACATTATTGCTTTAGGAAATTTTTTCCCTGAACCAGGAACCGAATGCTAATGACATAAAAATATACACATATAAAAAGTAGTTCTCCATTTTCCCGGGAAAAAAACAATAACTTCTAGAATATTCAAGTGTTCTGTTTTAATTATAATTGAAGTCTTGGTCATCTCATTTATTAGCTCTGTAACTTACATATTTAAATTAAACATTATTAGACAACCGTTACAAATTATAAATGTAAGGTGCCATTATTGAGTAAATAGATTCTTCATGAGTGGACGTGTCCCTTCTCCCACCCGCTAATGAAGCAGCAACATGGTTAGTTTAATGTTATGAGTACAGGATCCATTGCTGCAAACACTGCTTCTCCTCTCCACCCTGTGTTTATCTGTGTATATGTGTGAGTTGGTCAGAACACATGGGCGACCTCTCTCATGATCAACAGCAAGATGAGCTAGGCTTGGGCTTTCGGTGCAGACTGACCGTGTCTGTGTGAATCAAGTGATCTGACCTATCCTCGGTAGCAAGCACTCTTCGTACCGCTTCCTCAAAGGCCGCTGCAACATTCGTGGCATCTTTTGCACTTGTTTCAAAGTAAGGATAGTCGCCGTTGTCCCTGCACCAGGCTTGGGCTTCTTCTGCAGACACCTGCCGTTCACTTATGTCAATCTTGTTCCCCAAAATCACAAAAGGAAAGCTTTCGGGCTCTTTCACATCTGCATAATATATAAATTCTTTCTTCCAGTTACTCAAGTTCTGGAAGCTTTGAGAATCATCGACACTAAAAGTAAGCAGGCAACAGTCAGAGCCTCTGTAAAATGGCGTCCTCAGGCTTCTGAATCGCTCTTGACCTGCAGTGTCCCAAATCTGCATGGTAACAAAATGTCCATCCACCTCCAAATCTTTATTTAAAAATTCCACACCTATTGTATGGAAAAGCTGGGCATCAAACTTATTAGTCACATATCTGTTCATTAGAGAACTCTTCCCAACTCCACCATCTCCAAGGAGGATTACTTTAAAAAGCGATGATTTCCCTGCCATTATTAATCTCAAGATCCTTGACTTCAGAACCCTGCAAAATAA